TGAGCTGTGATGCCACAGCACTCTACCCAGGGCAACAGCTTGAGGCTCTGTCTCAAAAAAAAAGAAAGTTGAATTGAATTATAGTAGCAATGTGTAGTAAGACATTTACTTAAAAGACAGTGTTAATTAAGTGAATACTAACATCACTACATGACAGGCAGGACTATCAAAGAAAATGGCAAAAGGAAGGTTGTTGTTCAAGGAACACAACACCATTTTAAAGTGGTATTTGAAATTTAAGAATGTTGTTGAAGACTCGGCACCTGTGGCTCAAATGGCTAAGGTGCCAATCACAGACACCTGAGCTGGCTGGTTCGAATCCAGCCCAGGCTCGCCAAACAATAATAATGGCTGCAACCAAAAAGTAGCCAGGCATTGTGGTGGGTGCCTGTAGTCCCAGCTATTTGGGAGGCAGAGGCAGGAGAATTGCTTGAGTCCAGGAGTTGGAGGTTGCTGTGAGCTGTGATGCCACAGCACTCTACCCAGGGAGACAACTTGAAGCTCTGACTCAAAAAAAAAAAAAAAAAAGAAAGTTGGTGAAGTATGATGACAAAGGAGGCGTGAATATGCAACAGAACCTTCCCCATGCCTGACAACTACACGCATTTGTGATAAGTCTGAGACACACGATGCTATGTATGATGTAAACAAGGCAAGATCCGGAGGCCGTGCACAGCAACAACTCCTGGGCTTCTGCTGTGGAGATGGGGCAGTTTACATGCTCCTCACAGAAGTCTACCAGTGTGCACATGACAGAAGTTAGCAGAACAAGCATACAATGCATTCATTTTTTCTTTTCAGAGACCAAGTCTCACTTTATTGCCCTCGGTAGATTGCTGTGGCCATCACAGCTCACAGCAACCTCCAACTCCTCCTCTTCAACTTCTGGGCTTAGGTCATTCTCTTGCCTCAGCCTCCTGAGTAGCTAGGACTATGGATGCCCGCCACAATGCCCAGCTATTTTTTTGTGCGTTGTTGCAGTTTGGCTAGGGCTGGGTTAGAACCTGCAACCTTGGTATATGGGGCTGGCGCCCTACCCACTGAGCCACAGGCACTGCCCACGATGCATTCTTAAAACAGCAAAACAGAAAAGGTTTCATCCCAAGGATTAGTACATGCACCAAGATGTGAGAGCTGACCTCCATCAGAATTTGCCAGGACAACAGATAAGACAAAGAGGCTGAGTTTCCCTCGTGTTCTCCTGACTTGACTTCCCCCGTGTTCTCTTGACTTCTACCTGCAGGGGACCTTAAAGGATGTGGCGTACCATAGAAAACTGATTATGCCGAAGGGTACTCTGGGATGAAACTGACATGGCACATAGAGTGAGAAAAGTGGGCACTTTGGTTAACATGTCTCAAGCAGTAATTCGTGGTAATCAGAAGTGTCTAGACACTGATGGTAACCACCTTGAGCACCTCTTATAATTGCAGAAGTCAAATATGACTTGTATTCATTTTTTGTACTTAGTATATATTGAGTTATAATTTCAATACAGTTTTCCCCTTTCTTAAAAGTGTATACATTTTTAAGTACCTCTGTATATACATCTGAGTTAACAATTTCTTCAATGAATTAGATCCACATTTAACAAAATCCAAAAGAAAATGAGAAATCAAGATACAAAAAAAATTTTATTTTATTTTTTTAGAGACAGAGTCTCACTTTATCACCCTCAGTAGAGTACTATAACGTCACAGCTCACAGCAATCTCCAACTCTTGGGCTTAGGCGAGTCTCTTGCCTCAGCCTCCGAGTAGCTGGGACTACAGTATGCGCCACAATGCCTGGCTATTTTTTGTTGCAGTTTGGCCAGGGCCAGGTTCAAACCTGCCACCCTTGGTATATGAAGCCAGTGCCCTATCCCACTGAGCCATAGGCGCCACCCAGAAAAAAATTTTTAAAAGACTTCAAAAACCAAGAAAAGCTTAGATATGTTTTCAAACAAATTGGTGGGTCAATTCTATTTCCAAGTATGAGCTCTTTGAAAGCAGAAATCATGTTATGTGATAACATAATCTTTAATAAACATCATACTCAAACATTCAAAACTAAACCAAAAAAAATTCAAAAATGACAGCATTTTATTCAAAAGAGAAAAAAAAACCAGGCCTTTTCCTACCTCTAACTTCAAGTGGCTCGAAAGTGTGCTTTAGCTCTTGTGTTTTTAATTCTTTTCATGAATAACAACTAAGTGAATTTTCTGGCTTATCTGTGGCCTTATAACTTACCACTTAGAAACACTTTACTTGGCAACTCTTTTTTTTTTAGAGATATAGTCTCACTTTATCACCCTCAGTACAGTGCCAGGGCATCACAGCTCAAAGCGACCTCCAGTTCTTGGGCTTAGGTGATTCTCAGCCTCCCAAGTAGCTGCAACTACAGGTGGCTGCCACAATTCCTGGCTATTTTTTGTTGTGGTTTGGCCAGGTTCGAACTCGCCACCCTCAGCACATAGGGCTGAAGTCCTACTCACTGAACCATAGGCACTGCCCTACTCGGCAACTCTTAACAAAATAAACAGTATCTCTGCCAAATTCATGGGGACCAATCCCTGTCAGAACAGAATTTCTTGAAGAACTCTGCCATAATTCAATATAATTGTATTTTACTTGCTGCTTCTCTGGCTTAATGTATGCCAAAGAAAAGAAAAAAAAACAAAGAATTCCAACAAATTTCCATTAAAAATTAAAACAGATTCAGAAAAAATCTTCTGAGAAAATAATCATTGTAATAATCTGAAAAATCAGTAAGTTTAAAAACAAACAAAAAAAACGGCGGTGAGCCAGGCTGCTGGTGGGGATGGCGGTGGCCACTGCGGGGATATTGCTCTGGCTGCGGGCAGCAGGCGCTGAGCGCCACTGGAGGCAGCTTTGTGGCGTGGGGCTGGCGTGGGGCCTCCTGCGGCCTGCCTCGGCTGTCCAGGACACGGCCCAGCGGCAGCAGGTGGCCCACTTCACTTTCTAGCTGGATCTGGAGCCCCAGCACTGTGGGCAAACTCAGAAAATGAATCTTTTCCAGGTGATGACAAGTGCCTTGGACAACTCATTGGCCAAAGATCCAACTGCAGTAATATTTGGTGAAGATGTTGCCTTTGGTGGAGTCTGCAGATGCACTGTTGGCTTGCCACACAAGTATGGAAAAGATAGAGTTTTTAATACTCCACCGTGTGAGCAAGGAATTGTTGGATTTGGAATTGGAATTGCTGTCACTGGTGCTACAGATCGCAGAAATCCAGTGTGCAGATTACATTTTCCATGCATTTGATCAGATTGTTAATGAAGCCGCTCTGGGGACCTTTTTAACTGTGGCAGCCTCACCATCCTTTCCCCATGGGGCTGTGTTGGCCACGGGGCTCTCTACCATTCTCAAGAGTCCAGAAGTGTTTTTTGCCTATTGCCTGGGAATCAAGGTGGTTATGCCCAGAAGCCCTTGCCAGGCCAAGGGACTTCTTTTGTAATGCACAGAGGATAAAAATCCTTGTATATTTTTTGAACCTAAATACTTTACAGGGCAGCAGTGAAAGAGGTCCCAGTAGAATCGTACACCATCCCACTGTCCCAGGCACAAGTCACACAGGAAGGGAGTGATGTCATCCTAGTTGCCTGGGGCACACAGGTTCATGTGATCCAGGAGGTAGCTTCCATGGCAAAAGAAAAGCTCAGAGTGTCTTGTGAGTCACTGACCTGAGGACCATAATACCTTGGGATGTGGACACTGTTTTTAAGTCCGTGATCAAAACAGGACATCTGCTCATTAGTCACAAGGCTCCTTTGACAGGAGGCTTTGCCTCAGAGATTAGCTCCACAGTTCAGGAAGAATGCTTCTTGACCTAGAGGCTCCTATATCAAGGGTATGTGGATTTGACACACCATTTCCTCACATTTTTGAGCCATTCTACATCCCTGACAAGTGGAAGTGCTATGATGCCCTTCAAAAAACGATCAACTATTGAGCATGTAGACAAGCTGGAAGATTGTGGCTAGATATGAAGGTATTTTTCTGAAATTTTTTTATATATCCTCAGATTTATCTCTTCTTGAAAATAGTTTTTAATGAAATGAACTATGATGGAGATTAGCTGCAAAGTTATGAATTATTATATTGTAACACAAATGAGTTGGTGATTTTCATTGAGGGTTTCAGATTAACTTTTTAAAACATTCTCCATGGTAGTCTCATAAAGTCTGTTTAATTTTATATCTGTAAATACTGGATTTGGGGTAATAGCAATAAAGCAAAATCAGATTAAAAAATAAATAAAAACAAAAAAACCCAATTAAATGAATACAAACTTTCTACCAATGATTTCCCTGAAATGATCAGAGTAAAGAGAAAAAAGCTGCAGAGAATGAGCAATTAACTGAACCAGAATGAGTACAAAGGATCCAATTTCTAAGTTTGTAAAGTATATCCAATTAGGCTCAGCACCTGTAGCTCAGTGGCTAGGGTGTCAGCCACATACACCAGAGCTGGTGGGTTCGAATCTAGCCTGGGCCTATCAAACAACAGTGACAACTACAACCAAAAAATAGCCACGTATTGTGGTGGGCGCCTGTAGTCCCAGCTACCTGGAAGGCTGAGGCAAGAGAATCGCTTAAGCCCAAGAGTTTGAGGTTGCTGTGACCTGTGATGCCACAGCACTCTACTGAGGGGGACAAAGTAAGTCTTAAAAAAAAAAAAAAGATATCCAATTAATTTCCTGACAGGGAGCCAAAAATAAATAAATAAATATATATACATATATATATAAAAGCATATCTGAAATAGTAAATCATTGTCATTGTTAAAGTTCCATATTAGTAGTGATTTTACCTTAATATTCTCCTAATTTTTAGGCTTGCACTTTCTAAAAGTATGTGAAGTTAAAAAAAAAACCCATACATTAAAGCCAGAAAAATCAAATTATATACAATTAGTATAATTTTGTCAAAGCAACTGAGTAATAAAATTTACCTTTTCAGCTGGTAGCATATCAAAATTTTCACTAAATTCTCCTAAAACCAATTCTGCAAATTCATCATCCAAATCTGCAACCTATAAAGAAAGATTTTAGAATTTTATAATTTGTATTTATTTTCACAACTATTAATTTGTCTAAATACCATAAATACTTAACATTTAAATATTGTAAGATGGCTACATGATCTGCTTTACCTAGGCCAAGCAACTCTTCGCATCTCTTTACAAAGATAAAAAAGTTTTTCTTTCAAAAGAATAGGAAGTTGAAAATTAAAGATATACTTACAAGACCTTTCTGAAGGTTTTCTGTAGCTCTTTTGCATTAAGACAAAACAACATAAAAAAATCTCAAAGAGGAACCAATTATGTACCTAATGATTAATAAAAGTCAATTTAACCTTTATTCTTTTTTCTTTTTTTTTAAGACAGAGTCTCAATAAGTCGCCCACGGTAGAGTGCCACTGAGCTACAACTCACAGCAAACTCCAACTCTTGAGCTTAAGCAATTCTCTTGCCTCAGCCTCCCAGTAGCTGGGACTACAGGTGTCTGCCACAAAACCTCGTTATTTTTTTGTTGCAGTTGGCCCAGGCCGGGTTCACACCCACCAACCTTGGTGTACGTGGCTGGTGCTATAACAACTGTGCTATGGGCGCCAAGCCATAAAGCATTCTAACTTCTATTTCCTCATCTATAAAAGGGATATAAGGTTGTTGTAAAGATTAAATAAAATGGTATACATAAAGCACTTAACCTGTAACACAGAGGCCATCAATAATAAAATTTAGATGATTACTAAATACAGTTATATGTGACGGGGTACATTCTGAAAAATGTGTCATTAGGTAATTTCATCATTGTGCAAACATTACAGGGTACAGCCTACTACACACCTAGGCTATATGGTAGAGCTTATTGCTCCAAGGCTATAAAAACCTCTATTGCAGGGTTGTCCAACCTTTCTTTTTCTATGCTGCACATTGGGAGAATGAGACTTATCTTGGCACAAACACTAATGAAAGCTGATTAGCAGAAGAAAGGTCCATGCACACTTTTCCTTATTCCTGACACCAAAGATAAGCAAAAAAGTCCTCGCAAATTAGCATATAGCCCATGGGCCACAGGTTGGACACTCGGGCATATACGGCATGTACTGACTACTGTAGGAAATTCTAACACAACAGTAAATATTTGTGTGTATTATAGAAAAAGTACAGTAAAAATATGATAGTACAATCTTATGAGACCATGGTATACATAGTTATTGACTAAAATGTAACACAGCATATGACTGTATCAAAAATAACTCCATAAAATGATGGATTAAAAATAATAAGGCTAACAGCCTCAGAATATGGGGAGGGGGAATGAGTGGAGGGAGGAAGATTGGAGGGATCACTTCTGTGTTTATCTTATGAGGATACAAGTGAATCTTTCTAAGAGTAGAATGTGAACATTTTAAAATAATAACTAAGAAAATGACATGAAGGCTATGTTAACCAGTTTGATGGAAGCATTTCAGATTGTGTGTGAAAACACCACACTGTACCCCAGAAGTACATTAATGTACATAGTTACCATTCAATAAAAAAAATAAATAAATAAGGCCAATAGAATTTATTCATACCAATTTAATTTAGAAGTGAAAAATCAAAGTGTTCAGATTGAATTTTTTTTGAGACAGAATCTCACTATGTCGCCCTCAGTACAGTGCTGTGTCGTCCCAGCTCACAGCAACCTCAAACTCCTGGGCTTAAGCAATTCTCTTGCCTCAGCCTCCCAAGTAGCTGGGATTACAGGTGCCCACCTATTTTTTTTTTAATTGATTTTTTTATTTTTTGCAGTTTTTGGCCAGAGCTGGGTTTGAACCCGCCACCTCCAGCTTATGGGGCTGGCGCCCTA